TTTCTCTTCAGATATGAATAATGGACGCCTTCTGTCTGATCTGCTTTTTTTTTGTCCAAGGAAAAGATGATTGAAAAGAGAGAGCGAAAGAAAATTAGTCAGACAAGTCAAGTTGATTCAGACTTTAGTTTCCGGTAGAGCTTACCTCACTGGAAGCGCAAGAGCTTGCACATTGAGAAGAAGACTGGTGAAAGTAATGGCCAGAGTGATGAAGAGTGTGTTGCGTTGAGTGAGCATGTTGATTTGAATGTTGTTTTTTGAGGAATAAATTAATTGCAGTGAAATATATTAGAAAGGTGCGAAGGGAGGAAAGGCAACCAGTACCTGACTCGTTTCTGATAAATTACTGATACTGATTGAGAGGAAAGATGAATGATTAATGTGGGAAGCTAGGAGTTGATAGAGCTTGCTTGAATAACACTTGGAAGGTGGGGCGTATGGTGGTGTACTTATAGCTTTTGGCCGGTCACCCAAATTTCAGACGCCCTGTCCACTCTCAAGCATTCAAGCCTGGAGCTGGGTCAACATTTTGCAAACAGTGATGGTCGATAAGGAGGGAATCTGCCATTGTGGTCAGTAACACGCCCTCCATCGATTAGTTTGTCGGACAAGCAAGTCCAGAGATTTGCTCGGTCTGTCTATGGCCGACGAGTGCGGCAGCCCGGAGGTGAAGGGTTGCCGAACTCGCCGGACACAGTCGGTCCGAGCATGTGTTGAATCAGTTCGTCTTGACGAGTCAATTGACGGTGTGGGGGCCATGTGTGAGAATGCCTTGTTTGCCATGAGGCACCAGGCAAGCAATCTGTTGTCACCTAGATGCAAGGCCTGGAAAGCAACTGGATGCGGTTCATTGGGAGACCTGCGTCTTTTTTTCGGCTTGCTGTTGTTGAGCCCCGGATACTAATATTAGAATGAAATGAAGAAGAACTCATCCAAGTAAGGCGCTGAACCCCGGCGGCAGGGTCGGAGGGCTCGCCAATCCTCGTACCACTTGTCGGGTTGGTGCAAACATAATAACTCATTCTGGTGGCCGTGGAGTGTTCTCCGTCCAGTCGGTTATTTACTCGGGGGCTCGGTCCGGAGTGGGAGGCAGAATTTCAGTAAGACTCCAAGAACAACTACAACTACAGACAGCTTCTCTCAAATCTAGCAAGAGATCCACCAGGGGTACCGGCTGCTGACTCCCAACAGATTGACCTTCTTTCTCCGGTGGTCACCACAAACGGAAACAGTGTTGAAATTCTGAACTCAGATTGGAGGACTTCCCATCGGATCTGGGGCCCTTGCAGAAGTCGGTCTAGACCCGAAAATTCTTGATTCTCGTAGAGAAATTTGAATTTCGAGCCTCTAAACCAGCTCTGGGGCAGATGTTGATGGGAAGTCCTCCATTGAGGGCCAAAAAAGGAGGGTATCTTTTTTGGGAGAGGCTCTAGAAAAGGAATGTGTGAACCAATAGTTTTATTCACTTGCAGCTAGCAGGATAATAGACTAGATACATGTGGTTAAAAAGTGGTTGAAGGAAAATAAATAAACAATGTTTTTGAATAAAAACTGAGAGAAGATAAAATGGGTTCTTGAAAATAACAAACCAGACAAAACATCTCATTCTCTTTTAGTTAAGCTAGATGGGTTAGTCAAGAGAAAACATTCTAAATCACAAATACTATGAGGCGTTAGTTCACAGTAACCAGATTTTACTAAATCAAATAATGAGAATAGAAAAAGAAAGAGGTTCGACATGAAGACAAGAGTTGTTGATAAGGTTGCTATTGTAAGTTCTAATTAGACTACTAAAATGCATAATATTCAACAGAAAACTAGCTATGAAGAACCATAATTCAGTCTACTTCAAGATGATTTAAGAAGGAGAAAAGGAGAGAATGAAAAGGAAAAATGATGGTGATTTTAGGAAAGAGTAGGCCAAGGAGGAGAAAACTCAACAAACAGCTAGACAGACTGAGTTTGTCTAAGATGTACATACATCACAATCATAAAGACTCCCCAAGACTCCAGTCTCTAGGGGACCAGAGCTCAAGGCATGCTAATCAAACATTCTTGGGGCAAGGTCGCAAACACGGAACATGCCCATGGTCCCCTGAATGGTCTGATCAAAATATTTAGCTGCCTACTTGCGGGTACTCGACACCAGAGCTTGTTTGCCAGCGACCTGACTCTCTGTACCCGCCAAAATCATTTGGTCAGGTTTTTATTATCATGTATTCCTGCTGAATGGAACTTGAAAGGGCTCCTGACTCGCCTGACTAGTAATGCCCAGGGGCCAGCCTTACCTCCAAGGGGAAAATATATTTCATTGAGAGAAAACTATATATAGCTTTGTAAATACAAATTTGGGTTGATGAGGTATCTGGGACCCTCCCAGATGTTGATTTAGACCCAAAAAGTCTAGAATTTTGCTGGGAAATGTTTGGGATTTAAGGGCCTGGATTTTGGGTTCTCCCAACTTTTTTTGCTCAAGATCTGCAGCAAACAGTGTGAGAAACACCAACTGTGTGCTACACTTTGACACTTTTTGCTTTTTTCCCAACAAATTTCCACACTTTGAAACCTCAATCTCATTGCTTGTGAGTTCCTCATGCTCAATTGACCTTCATTGGAGCAAAACTAACTCAAATTTTCTTTGAATAAATCAATTTCACAGGAAACGGCAAAAAGCAAAGCTTCTAAGGCTCAATCACAACAGCCCAAAAGAGAGAAACATGTGGCCAAAGCCATGAAAATGGCCATCCAATCCAAAAAAGCCAAACAAAAGAAGAAACCCAAACCCGCCGCTAATAGTTCATTAATTGATATCAAACTTGTTCCAGCCGTTCTTGCCATTTCTGATATGGAAGACAATCCGGCACTGTTCAATCCAGCAAGCAAAGAAAATCCAGTCCTCCTCTCAGATGACAAAATCTTTTCCTTCCATGAGAATGAAATTGAAGAGATTGATCAAAACAATGAATTTATGTGTTTCATGTAGAGCTGGCCCCTAGTACCTGTTGTGACATGGTCAAAGTGCTTGACTGCAACACATGTCACAGATTGTGTAGATAGTCTTCATAGGTGATTTCCATTACTTAGTAATGAAAATCATTGACCTCCTGAGCTCTCACTCCAACAGGTTACGAGCCTCTCGCTGGAGTAGCTCAAATTATAATTATCAGTAGCTGGTGTTAGAAAAGATTATACACCCACCAACCAGTAGTCACCAATTTTGAAAAGTACCTAGTAGTCTGCTGGCAAGCCTTTTTTTTGATCACTTTCTCCTCTCTAAAACATCCCTACGACCAAACCCAACTTACCCGTGATCAACAGAACCCTGCAGCTTTAGCCTCTGAGTTGGAGAGATTAGTTGATAACTCTGTGGTGAACATTATAGCTAACATTGAGATTGGACTGATCATTCATAATCACAGTGTTCCTTCTGAAATCAATAAAAAAGTTGAGAACCTTGTTGATACTGCAGGCAACTTCAGATCCACGGCCAAACCCCGCCGACCGAAGGTGTTTATTTCTTTTTCTCTCTCTTTTCCCCTACCACCTCCCTTCCCATTATTCATTTAACGACATGTCCGACAATCACCAACCAGAGCTGAAACCGGGCCATAATCCCTACAACAAACTGGCGGCCACATTATCAAAGACAGGTTGATCAACCCCCATTGGGAATTTGCTCCACACTGCTATTGAGAAGCAACAAACCTCTGATGCTACAGGCGCACTCCGTTGTAAGGTGGGGAGGACTTTCACAAATATGACCGGCACCAACCAAGGGACATCTGGTCCGTTGTCAAAGGGGAAAGGCCCCACCTGTTCTGAATCACCGCAAGAGACCACCTTTCAACCCCGTATCACGGACAAGCCGGCAACCGCTTCTTCCTCATCCAATTGGTGTCGGACGGATGCACCCCCCCCCCCCACATTTTGGATGCTAATGTGACAATGCAACTCCTAGCCGAATTGAAGGCGCAGCAAGACACTGACCGGATTTGTCTAGAGATGGCCTCAGGGTATCCGTTGCAGATATCCGTCATGCGCTGGCGGATACCTGCCAGGCCCAACAGATACCTGCCAGAGGATTTGGATTTGGGTGCGGATGCCCCAGTCTCCTCGGAATCCTGGCGGGCATCCAGGTATCTCTAGGGATACCCGCCAGAGGGACCCAGTGAGACCTTGTACAGTCTCAAGGCCAAGAGGGGTTCCTCTAACCGGTGCCAAGAGAGGCAACACCGCTGGGAGGAATCCCTCCCAGCGAACTGGAACACAATCCAGCTTGCCGGGAGGGGTTCCTCCCAACGAGCTGGTGTACAGTTTATTTAGTAAGTTGAGGTCCTATGGCAAGCAACCGGCACAGGGTCGCTCAAGCGGGGCGGGCAACCAGTGCTGCACCACTGTTTTTCAAGGCGGCGAGAGTGGACGAGCTGGAACTGGAAGCCAAGCTGAGTCTGAACAACCCATCGATGGAGGCCGTCAAGGAAGCCCAGACGCTCTGTCCAGGTCGACGGATTGACTTTCTTATCTCCCTGGGCGCTGGAAAGGGTCTACACAACGGCTCGGGCTCGATTGCACGCGCTTGTGCCGAAATGGGAGAGTCGTCCGAACGGGTCGCCCGTGAATTCGAGGCCAGAGCTGCACAGGAGGGATGGCCGGCCAGCTACTTCAGGGCCTTTTTCAAGGGCCTGAAAAATGAGGATAACCAAGGAGAGTGGGAGAACCTGCACTGGGTGAAGGCCGGGACGATCCAGTATCTGTTCATTGATGCGCGTAGCCAATTTGACCAACACCTGGATAATTTGATCAATAGCAACCCCTCCCGGCCACAATCCAACTCGCCGGGAGGGGTTCCTCCCAACAAGCTGGGATGAATACACTCTTGTCGGGAGGAATCCCTCCCGGCAATCTGGTACACAATCCAGCTCGCCGGGAGAGATTCCTCCCAACAAGCTTAACTTTTTTTTTCTTTTTTTTGAAAAATGAAAAACATCTGTCCATCCTTAAAAGGGGGCGGATATCCGCGGGTATCCGCGCAGATACCCACCAGGGCCAGCGGGTATCCGCCAGTGGATGCGGATGCGGATGTCCAATTCTGCTGAAATGGTGAGCGGATATCCGAATCCGAACGGATATCCCGATGCGCCGCGCCCATCTCTATTTTGCTCTATTATCAGAATAAAAATTCTAGGAAAAACATCACCTGGTACCTTTCAGGCTGGAAGTTTCTCCTTCCAGTCAATGAGGTACATGTACCTTGTCAACCAGAAAGCAATTGTAAGGGTTTAATCCCTTCACTGAATTCTTATGGATGGAACCTTGGGCTGAGGGAGACTTTCTAGAACCAAAAGGAAATTTATTTCTTGTTCTAGCTCAGCAGATTGATAATAAAGGGAAAAGTCTCTCTAGTCAGTACAAGTTTTTGAGTCTTATTAGAGAAGAAAGGAAAAAGGGAAAAGAAACTTCAAGAAAGAAGGAAGGAAGAAAATAGAGAAACAAGATGATAGAAAGTGAAATGGGTTTGGCTTACCTAGCTCAGCAGATTGATAATAAAGGGAAAAGTCTCTGCTGAGCTAGGAGGGGGAGCGGGGCAATGAGTCTTGAAGTAGCCGAGATTCTTGATGTGTGATTTTCTTGTGAAACCTGTAGAGAGAGGTTTCACAGTCTCCCCCCCTATAAAAAGTTGAAGTTGTGATGAAAGTTGGGCAGTTCAGGAGTAAAAGAAGGAAAGGAAAAAAAAAGGAAAATTAAAATAAAATGATAACAAAAAACGAAAAAATTGAGAAAGAGGAGGAATCCAGGAAATAGAAGTAGAAAGGAAGGAAAGAATGTTGTTTGTTGATGTCCGAAAGGTCCAGGATCTCTGTTGGAACACAAAGCAGAAAAGGCCGGTGTTCCGGTGCTCACGGTGTGGCCAAGGTAATGCCAAAACTCTACACGGTAGTAGCAACGGTGGGCCAGCTACGCTAACCGTAGCGTTAGCGTAGCGTAGTGTAGCGAAAAATCGCTACAATGTAGTGTAGCGTTAGCGCGTTTTTCAATTTCTGCGCTAACGCTACGCGGAGGGGGGAAAAATTTGCGCTAACGTTTAGCGTAGCGTTAGCGCGATTCCCCCCATGTGCGCTAACGCTACGCGCACAGGGCGCAAAAAACCGCCCGCTACGCTGCGCTACAGCCATTTTTAGCGGTTTTTAGGCGTTTTTTGCCGCTAAAAACGCTGTAGCGTAGCGTAACGCAGCGTAGCGGCGCCAGCGGTGCGCTAACACTACACCAAAATTTGGCTAGTGTTAGCGCCGCTACAAGTTAGCGTAGCGCAGCGGCAGTAGCGGCGCGCTAACACTACACGAAAAAAAAAGAAAAATGGCGCCGCTACGCTAACGCTACATGGGCCTGTAGCGTAGCAGCCCACCGCTGGTAGTAGATGCCTGGAGGTGCACTATTGGGAGGAACTTACTTTTGTCTCCTCCACCATCGCATATCCATCTTGTGCAAAAAAAGGTTTGACCTTAGAGATGTGAAAAGTGGGGTGTCGTCCGTCCCCTTCTGGAAGCTCAAGTTGTATGTTCTGGCCATTATTGAAGACCTGCAGAACACGGTACGGTCCTTCATAGCGTTCCTTCAGCTTGTCAGTTCCGGCTTGGTGACAGCCTCGCCAGTCGGCAGAATCTAGGAGGACCCAGGATCCGACCTGAAGTGGCGGCAATTCTCGGCAGTGTTTGTTGTGTTGGATAGCTTGGCGGACTCGGCTTGTCCAGAGGGCATCCCTGGCTTCTGCCCAGGCGCCCTCGCGTTGGCGGAGCCAGACCTCTAAACTGGGGGGAGTGTCTTCTGGCCCTTCTTTTGACGGGAATAGTCGTGGACGGCGTCCAAAGATCAGTTCAAAGGGGCTGAAACCGGTGGACACGTTGATTGCTGAGTTAATTGCAAATTCAGCTGCAGGGAGTGCCTCGAGCCAGCGGCTTTGTCGTTTGGCAGTAAAAGTCCGAAGGATCTGGCCTACCGTCTTGTTGGTTCTTTCGCTGCGTCCGTCTGCTTGAGGGTGAAATGCTGTGGACATGTGAAATTTTATCCCAATCTTGTCCATGAGGGCCTTCCAGAAACGTGATGTCCAGGTCTTGCCTCGGTCACTGATGATTGATTTTGGTGCTCCAAAAGTTGCAAGCCAACCCGTGAAGAACCTTGAAGCAGTCTTTTCCGCTGTGTCTTTCTGTAATACCGGGATCAGTCTTGTGAATCCTGATAGTCTACATGTACACGTGAGGATCATGTCGTAGTGGGTGGCTGAGCGAAGTGGCCCTACAAAATCGATAGCCAGATGTCGGAGAGGGCTAAGTGGAATCGGTGGTGTCATCATTTTCCCCGTGGGTGCTACTGTGGGGCTTTTAGTTCGTTGGCAGGTCTCACAGCCTTGCACAAAGAGGCGAACATCTTTTGATAACCCGGGCCAGAAGAATTCTTGACGTAGTTCAGAAATTGTCTTCAGATTTCCGAGATGTCCTAGTCTCTCGTGAGCTTCCTTGATTAGTCCACGGCGTAGCTCTAGATCCTTTGGTATCAAAAGCCGACCCTCGATGAACAGTAGACCTTCTTTTTCCACGCAGTCCTCACGCAGGGGTAGTACCTTCTGTAGGGAGGTACAGAAGGAGTCTTCGGCGTAACCTGTGATAATTTGTTGTTTCAAGGAATCAGAAAGCTCGGTACCTAGTTCCGTGAGAGCTGCAATGCAAGCTACATCCCCTGGATTATATTCTGCAGTTTCCTCCTCAATATGCTTTCGAGAGAGAGCATCAGCAACTGTGTTGTCTTCTCCACGTATGTATTCAAAGCGAAGGTCAAAGTCAGCTAGAATTTCTTTCCAACGGGCTTGGCGGCAACTGAGATTTTGTTGTTTCAGCAAGTATGTGAGGGAGTGATGATCAGTCATTACATTCACCTTCATACCAAGAAGAAGCATTTTCCACTTTTGAAGGGCATGGATAACCGCTAGTAGTTCTTGCTCGTGTACCGGGTAATTACGTTCCGCCGGTGTCATCAAATGTGATTCGTAAGCAATTGGTGAAGCTTCTTTCCAGTTTGCTCCCTGAAAAAGTGCTGCGCCTAGTCCGGAGCCACTGGCATCAGTGAAGAGCCAAAGAGGGTCTTCGGATTCGAAATCAACGTTTTTCAGGCAGGGAAGGGATGTCATGATCTTCTTGATGTTCTGAAAGGCTGATTCTTCTGCTTCTCCCCATGTGAAGTTTTTTGGGTCGAGTTTGGTACTAGTCAAAGGTGTAAGTTTCCCCACGTACTTCTGTAATCCCCAGATAAATTTTTTCATCCATTGAACTGTGCCAAGAAATTTCTTCACATTCTTGGGTGACCGCGGAGTTGGCCAATCAAGGACCTTTGCTACTTTTTCATCATCCGCCTTAAATCCCTCGGCAGATATCCAATGGCCAAGAAATTTGACTTGGTGCCGGAAAAGTTGAGTCTTCTTGGGGCTACAGTATAGGTTAGCTGCTTGTAGTCGTTCTAGCACACGTCGAAGATGTCCTTCATGTTCGGTAAAGTTGTCGGAGAAAACCACAATGTCATCAAGATAAACCACACAGATGTCATTAATGAGTTTGCCTAACGCTTCCTCCAACCGAGCTTGGTGTGTTGCTGGTGCATTGGTAAGACCCATTGGCATCACACACCACTCCACTAGTCCCCATGGCGTCTTAACTGCCGTCAAGGGAATATCGTCTTCACACATCCGAGTTTGGAAAAAGGCATTTGTCTGGTCGAGCATTGAGAAAACCTTTCCAGAGGCTACCAGTCGAACCAGTTCATCGACATTGGGCAATGGTGACCTATCTCGAACTGTAAGGCTATTCAGGGTCCGATAATCGCAAATCCATCTGGGGAGTGCCGTGGGATCCTTCTTTGGGATGATGAAGCTAGGCGAAGCATATTGACTTGATGAGCGGCGGATCCTGCCTGCCTCTAGATGCTGGTCAAAAAGTTTCCTCCATGCCACAAGATATTTTTGTGGGTAGGGATATTGCCTTTCATTGAAGACTGCATTTGGATCTGTCAGTACTATTTTATGTCGAACCTTAGAGCTCTCACTTTGAATTTTCTCAGGGAAGGATCCATCGGTGAAAAGGCCTTCCGTCTCTGCTGCTTCTGAAACAGCTGGTATGTCTATTGGGAACAGGTCTCGAAATTCCTCAAGTATTCTTTGTTCAGATTGCTCACATGGATAATTTGGTAGTTCAGGTGATGATGAAATAGTTGCAATTTGTATTTTGTTGTCATGTTGCTCCATTGTTTTACGAAAGTCTGAGATTGTACGACCAGAGCGGTCACAACGAAGAGATTGACGAGACATTGAAACAGATAGTGAAAAGAAGGAAAGAAATGGTGTCCCAAGTATCATGTCATAGGGACCTGCAATTGGGCCCAATCTGAAGGGGACGTTCTCGAAGGTCAATTTTGAGTTGGGGTCCGAGAGTGTTGCTGTTGTTGCTAGACGTAGGATAAGCGGCTTAGAGGAGTTGTTTTCAAGGGCTAACGTTATAGTTGTTGGTTTAGCTGATTTGTAGGTCAGAAGATTTGCCCCTTTCGCCGCCTGTTCAGTCATCAGGTTGATCTCTGCTCCTGTGTCAACCAAGCCACGTAAGTGTTTACCCTGGTGTACGAGGTCAATGATCAGGCGTTTGGGTGTCGGAGGCTTAACGTACCTTTCTTCAGTGTGTAGACGAAGCTCTTCATCCAACGCTGCAAGTGCCGATACGAATGCCGCGTCTAGACTTGGAAAAAGATTGGATTCTGCAACTCCTGCTACCAATGCTGCTTTGGTTGGTGGTCTCCCAGCTGGGGCTTGAGTTGGCTTTCCCGCGGTTGTTGAGGGTGAATTATTGCGGCGGCCAAGCGGTTTCCAACCCTCTGGCATTGGTGGGGCCTTGAAGGATGCCGGGATTTCGACAAAAGTTTGGTCCAGTGCGTGAGGACAAGTTCCAGGAGCACTACCACATTTCTTCTTACAATAATGGCAACGTCCTTGGGTGTCGAGATAGGCGTTGATACGCCAAACAATCTCATCACGTGTGGGACGTTCATTTTGTTGTGAGGAAGAAGTTTGGGGCCGGTTACGATTGTTTGGTTTCTTGGCTATGCCATCGTAGAAGGTGGCAGCTCGCTTCTCGAATTCACTGTAAACAAACGGTTTGACTCGGAGGATACCGAAATCGTTCACTTTGACTCGGAGCTCCTCTGGTACAGCAAATGTGATATATTCGGCCAATTCAAAGTCGTCCATGTCTTTCTTGTCAAAATTGTACATACTCTGTAAGGTACGAGCCCGAGTGCTGAAGGTGATGAAGGTTTCGCTGTCAAACATCTTGAGTTGGCGGATCTTCATTTTCAATGTGGTGCGCCATTCTGTTGGGAGGGCAACCTCAAACAACCGGTCCTTGAAGGCCGACCATGATTTGTCGATAAAGGATTCTGCCTCGTTTGCGTAAAAGGATAGGATGTTGGTCTCTGCGATCAGACCTCCAACAATTCGGATCTTGTCAACGTCGTTAGTGACAGCTTTTGTCGAAAAAAAATCTGAATACCGTGGATCCATTTCAAGAATGGCTCCACCGCTTGAAAGGGACCTTTGAACAATGGTCCATCAGAGATCTTGAATCGTTGAAGATCAATTCGACCAGAGACTGTTGAGGACGGTTGCTCATTTGCTTCGTCTTTGATCGCTAGTTTCATGACCGCGTTCTCTAGACACGCGATATGGGCCGCAGCTGCACGACAATCTTCTGCTGCTGCTTCGCGATCAGCTTGAGCTAGCTTAATGCTGGTTTCTTGAACCGCCATCAAACGCATCAGCAGTTCTTGCGCTGATAGCGATTGGTTCGTCGATGAACCGGATTCATTCATCGCTAGTCGAAAAGGGGGGGGTGGGAATCGGGTTGGTGGGAGGTGTATCGTTAGGCAAAGGGACCGTAGTCGCTAGTCTGAGTGCTTCACTGTTCGCTTCTTGAAGCGATTTGAGTTGCGACTTGCGCTGGCGTTCTGCTGCGTTTGCCACACGAAACAAGGCTTCTGGGTTCGGTAATGGATCGAGTATGTCGGCTTCGTTGTTCCGACGAGTTGTCATTCAAAAAAAAAAAAAAAATTGATTCCGATGACGAGACGATGCAAAATCGTGTTGTTGAAAATGAGGCGGAGAGCTTTAAAACAGAACGATTCGGTATGGAAGCGAATCGGGTCGGATTTTGAATGTTTTGGGTTTTGGTTCAAGAAAAAAAAAGTGTAAGGGTTTAATCCCTTCACTGAATTCTTATGGATGGAACCTTGGGCTGAGGGAGACTTTCTAGAACCAAAAGGAAATTTATTTCTTGTTCTAGCTCAGCAGATTGATAATAAAGGGAAAAGTCTCTCTAGTCAGTACAAGTTTTTGAGTCTTATTAGAGAAGAAAGGAAAAAGGGAAAAGAAACTTCAAGAAAGAAGGAAGGAAGAAAATAGAGAAACAAGATGATAGAAAGTGAAATGGGTTTGGCTTACCTAGCTCAGCAGATTGATAATAAAGGGAAAAGTCTCTGCTGAGCTAGGAGGGGGAGCGGGGCAATGAGTCTTGAAGTAGCCGAGATTCTTGATGTGTGATTTTCTTGTGAAACCTGTAGAGAGAGGTTTCACAGCAATCCTCTCAGTCTCTTGGCCTTGGGTATCCCTGGAGACACCCAGATATCCACCAGGATTTTGAGGAAAAGCAGCCATCCACACCCAAATCTGTATCCCCTGGAGGAAATCTGCAACGGATAACCCAAGGCCATCTCTAAATAGGAGTGTGCTAATACTGTAGTGTAGCTGTGCTGTTTTGAGGGCTGCTACCCTAATTTTATTGGTGCGTTTAGTGCAGTGTAGAAACGCTGCCACAGATACGATACGCTGTGTGTATCATGGAGAATTCTGCAAAGCTGCATGGCCAAAAACCAAATTTGTTGAATCTCCTTGCAAATAAAAGCAGATTGGTCAGATAGTTTTTTTTATTGGGGCTCAGATACATAGTGATACATGGCAGATACGGGCAGAGACCGTATCTGTGGCAGCGTTGAGTGTAGCATAGCATCCCATTGCTGCTTGCACCTACTGGATATGAGGTGCCATCTATAAAAAAGAAATGCATGATTTTGGATTTCTGAATTCTTTTGAAATTGAACCAGTGTCTTGATATTTTTATTTTTATTTCATGCTACTTTTGGAGGTCTAGTGGGTGTAATGGTTTGAGATGATTTTCATTAAGAAGAACAAACCAGAAGATGTAGTTTGGTGCCCTTGGTCTAGTGCAACCCTCTTTCTGGGTTACAACAGTGGCTACCCATTTGTGTGATCATTCAGAGAATAATTAAGGTTGTGGAATTAAAATCAGAGCTCAAATGCTGCAAGGGAGTTGAGTACTAATAATTATAAATTAATGTGCCCAGAGAAAAACCTACTGTAAATATTGGAAAAAAAAGTTTGACATGGAACAATGACAAAAGAGGATTTATGAATAAACCACAGTGAGTCTTGAGCACAAGCAAAGAGAATAAATGAATTCAGAAAATGGTAGCATAGCACATCAGTGTTCAGACAAAAACTTTGATTTGAATACTGCCATCAAGCAAAGAAATTGGTGTGATTGAATAAATAAATAAATAAATTCAAATGATCATCCAGCTTTAATACTAATTTGTGAAATCTTCTAAGAAACTGACATATATCTCATTAACAAATTGTTTAAAAAGTTTTCTAATTGGTGCATTTGGATCTTTCTGATCAGTGATTTGATTTGCCAGTGATTTTCTTGAACTTTTGATCCATTTTGTTACAGATTTCCAGATGACTGAAGAATGGTCGGCCATTGATTCAAAATACTTCTTATCCGCTCGATTCATCTGATATTTACCCTCCGGAGTTAGACTTCTATCAAGAGCCTCGCCATGTGAGTGAACCAGTTGTCTTGCATCCTGTAAAAATTCTTGCCCCGCTAGTTGCCTTTGCGATGTTCGCCAAACTGGATTTGAGGTATCCTCGTCCGGAATGAGTGTGTTGATGATGTCTACGTGAAGTAAGTAGTAGTTAAATATGCGCTCAAGCCGTCGATAGTAAAGCAGCTGATGTCTCTTTCGACTTGACGAGACACTGTCTTTATTACTTTTGCTATTAACTCCTTTTCTAATATCGGCGACCATATTCTGCAAATCCAACATGCCATGCTTGAGCCGTCTCTGAGAATGGTCTTCAGTAATCTCTCTTTCAATCTCTGACATTGATTCCTCGAAATCCGGTAGGACATGCCTGACGTATAAATTGTGAAATCGCGCTTGAGGCCCGATCTGTTTGAAATTCTTCAAAGCCAATCGATGTCTGTCCTTGAATGTTCCTCTCCGACTTTGTTCACTGTTTCTCATCGTCAACTTATCCATAAGACCTAGACCATCCTCGTCGCGCAATCTTAACGAAGCGAGGAATTTTTTAATTTGATTCGTTCTTATCTGAAGTATCTCCTTGTGTCTATTTTCCAATATGGCCGCATCAATGATTATTGATCTATCGGCTTGTCTCAAACTCTTGATTGCTCTCAAGACCAGAAGTTGAGCAGTGTCGGAAGTTGGCTCATGATCGACGAAGCTGTAAGGAGGGCCAGGATCCGTCTCTCCTGCTTTCTTCCTTTTCCTATAAGGTCCTCGTATCTTTTCTGGCTGTACAATTCTATCCCTGAAGAGCGTTTGGTATCCAAGAGGAGGTTCAACATGCGCTATTATTTTTCTCTTCTGAACCGGTCGTCCAGTTTCTTTCAAACCACGATTCGTCTGGTTGACCAGTTCCATGTCATCCTTCTCGTTAAGGGATAGTTGAGATGAGCTTGGGTTTCCGCTGAAGGTGAGTGCTGGAGGAGGTTCGACATGCGCTATTGAATGTGTTTGCCTAACCGGATGTTTAGTTTCGTCTGTAAGGAAATTATCCTCCTGGCGGTTGACAATGAAATGCTGCAAATCATCCTTTTCGCTATGGAATAAGTCAGAATAGCTTGGGGTGTTGAGTAATTCCCATTCAGATTGATTTCCTTCCAAATTCTTTCCGACAAGCTCCAACTCGTCCACGTTGATAGGGGATAGATGGATCTC